TATCGATGGTACTACTTTCAGTAAATCATAACTTTGTTTAGGTATACCCACATATTATTGAGTAATACAATGATTCTTCATTACTTTTCAGCCATACCACATATATCGAAAAGTCAGGAGGAAAATATATTGAAAAGTCAGTGGGTGAATATATCGAAAAGTCAGTGGGTAAATATACATGCGAATATATACACAATTCTGGTGAAGTCTGCGGACGTGGGTGTCAACGTCCTGAAGGGTGCCATGAACATTGGAGATCTAAAAAATGTGTTTTATGTGGTGATTGTGGAAAACCTACAGCTTCTGCTTGTGGATGTTGCAAAAAACATTCTAAAGGATATTATGTCATGAAATTTTATGCTCGACAACTTCAGATGCTTGAAGACCACCCATGACTCTTCGAGTCGCCCTTCGGGCCTGCAAGACAATAAAATTTAACTATCTTTTTTACCATAGAAACCTAATTGATAACTAAAAGATTACTATGCTCCGCTACTGCATCGCTCACACCTTAGGTGTATACTCCTTAGTGTTAAGAAACCAATTGTTGACTAAATAGATAACTAATGCTCCGCTACGCTTCGCATTCGGAGTCGCTATGCTCCTCCAGGACAGAAAATGTTTTAGTAATCAAATAAGATAACTATGCTCCGCTACGCTTCGCATTCAGAGTCGCTATGCTCCTCTGGGTCAGAAAGCTAAATAGTAATCAAAATAGATATCAAAAAAATACACTACAAGGTAGCATAGTGGACACTGTTGCAGATCACAAAAAAATGATCAACATAACATATGTTATGGTGAAAGTTCTTGCAAAAGTTTGATTATAAAAGTGTGAGATAATTTTGATCTTGCTGATGATCTGGACTTAGAGAGGCTACAGCTATATTCTAGTGAAGTTTCAGAAGCAACGGGCTCTGTGTAACTGCCTGCCTATTATACAAATGACTGTTGCACAAAATGAGTGTCCATTATGCTCTACAAGGTGTCATATATAAAAAAAACACACTGCATATAGATTTATATAAGTTTATCAGGAACATAGTAAAAGACTGAAAAAATCTATAGAAAACGGAAATACACCCAAATTGTCCTAAAAAGCCCATTATTATATTACTGCCTAGTACTAGGCCACAAACCACACTGTCAATCTGTTTATTCTGTTTAAAATTAGTATTAGGTTAACAAATTTGGTTTAACGGGGTGGATTTACTGTTTCTTTGGTTTAACAGGGTTGACTACACAGTTGTGTATTTTATTATGTTAACTAAAATAAAAAAATCTATTTTACTGTTTTTAGAAATAAATAATAATTCTATCTAAATTTATTTGGATTTCCAATTAGGCATTTTAAAAAAATATAAGATCATCATTAATGATATTCTCTTTTTAAATATATGTATGTACCAATAATTAATTCAATTAAAACTATTTATTAGATTTGGTGGTGGTTGCTACACAGTGAGGGAGGGTATCAAGCAAGAATGTAAGACATTCGATTATAAAATTTTTTTACTATGTAAATTCGAATTTTACTATCATCTACTATTACTATAGATCTGCGGCGACCAGTAATTTTTTTTAATTGCTTTTTTAGAAATAAAAAATAACGTTTATATATATATATTATGTAATGTAAATATGTAATAAATGGATCACGGCATAAGATCATCATAAATAACGATATTCCTATTTTTTTTCCTTTTTAAAATATATATACCAATAATAATCACTCAATTCTATCCAATTAAATTCAATTAAAAATTCGAATATATTTGTAAAACTAAAGATAATAATAATATATTTTTTTTTTATTTTTTTTTTTATTATTTATTATTTATTTTTTACATATATATATTTTTTTATTTTTTATTTTTTTATTATTATTTTTTATTTTTTTTTTTACATATTTTTTTTTTTACATATTTTTTTTATTTTTTTTTATTTTTTTTATTTTTTTTATTTTTTTATTTATTTTTTTATTTTATTTTTTTTTATTATTTATTATTTATCATTTATCATTTATTATTTATTAATTTTTTTTTTTTACATATATTTTTATTTTTATTTTTATTTTGTTTTTTTTATTATTATTTTTTTTTATTTACATATATGTAAGAAAGGCTTGTAGTTTTTTATGCAAACAATTTCCTTGTTTGTATTTCTTTGGTCAAGATTGACAAGTTTTTTCATAATGAACCGAACACAGACCTTCCATCCAAACTTAACTTAATGTTAAAATAAAAAATGAATTGTGTGACTATTTTTTTTAAATCAAAATTTTTAAAATCACAATCAAATGATCATCCAATCAAATCGCTTTTAAAACGGACAGAAGGTGGAGTATAGATATTTTAAATTTTTATAATTTTATAATAAAACAAAAATTTTAGTTAATACAATTATTATATATAAGATGAATTGTGCAACAATTTTTTTAGAATTGACAAATCAAATGTTTTTTATAATAAGTCGGATTTTGTTTATTTTTCTGTTATATTGTTGTGTTATAAATTAAATTTCAAAAAAAATTACGTTGTGTAAAAAAAATTAAATGTCATGCAAAAGTTATTTATTATATACAAAAAAAATTAAATCATGCCATGCAAAAGTTATTTATTATATGGTAAATCAGAAAATGCCAGCAATTACTCAATTATCTTGTTTTCTAAAATATTTGTTATATAAGTCGAATTTTTGTCTTATTTATTTATTTAATATTTATTTTTTCGTTATATTATTTTTTCGTTATATTGTTGTGAATAAAATTGAAATCACGTTTTTAAATCCAACCAATCAAATCGCTTTTATTCTGGACAGACGGTAGAGAATTAATATAGTAGTAAGTATAGATAAACAACAACAAACAACAAATTTCATCAATAAAAACTCTTTCCCCAAACTTCTTTTAACAAATCCATTCTTTTTAAAAATCATTCCTTACTTTTAAAAAGAAAATGTCTTCATCTTTGTTAAAACCACTGTTGAATTCCAAACATAGCACCAAACTCGACAACGTTCGCAGCATTCATAACCTCTACAACAATCTCTTTTATCATCTAGATGATAAAAACCAAAATAAATTATTCAAAAGAGTCAAAATTTTATCAATTCATTTTATATTGATAAGCTTTGGATGTTTTGTTTTATTCGAAGTGATATTTTCAACAAGCACATTAATTATCCCATCCAACAAACTATTGCTAACATCGCCAAACGAAATAAATATCACCCACAAAAATGACATCAACAACAACAACAACAACAACAACAACAACAATAATAGTAATGATAATATGAACAATGTCAACGGAATCGACTATTTAGACGACCTAGACAACGATGAAGGTGAGAAATATATGACATTTTTACCTCATAGCGGACTTCATAATCAAAGAATAGGATTTGAAAATGCTATATTTATGGCTTGGTTTCTTAATAGGACATTAGTCATGCCACCTGCTCTACTTGGAACTAGATTTCAATATATTAGAATAAAACAGAGAATAAAATACCTAAAAGCTGAATCTGTCGATTCAATCTGTGAAAATATAGAGTATACATCCGAAAAACAAAAATGCAAAATGTTTCATAATTCATACACACTTTATCCATTCGACCAACTATTCAACTTTACATTCGCCAGACAACACGTCAAGATTATGAATGTACCAGATTACAATGATAATACGGTTTTTAAAATGTTAAATATCACCAAGAGAAAAGAAGTTTACTATTCATTAACCAGGAATCTAAATAATAAATTATACGACACAGAAGCAAAATCAAACATTAAAAAACTCAAGGGTAACACTTTTATAAAACTTCAATCATTACAAGAACTCAGGGAACATCCTGAAAAGCTTTTATACTTTGGCAGTTTATTCGGCTCGAGTAGAATTATTACGAATTTGCAATCATCAAAATATTTCCTTACAACATTAAGGCTATCACTTGTACCGATCGATCCAATAATGTTAAGTGTAGTGGGTAGTATAGCTGAAAAATTGGGCGGTGCTGGTGAATATATTTCAGCTCATGCTAGAGGCGGCGATCACACTTTTAAAGAAACAAGAGAGGAACATTTTGCCAAACATGTCCACTTAGTTTTACAAAACCTGAGAACAATAAAAATAGAATAATATATGTGGCTAGCGATCTTGATAAAAACGATGAATCAATGAAAATATTCCTGAAAGAATTTCCTTGTCTAAAAATGCTTTCTGATTTCACCGATCAACTTGAACCCTACCAACATTTTATAAACCCTGTAGATAACAAAGTAATGCGTAATTATTTAATGCCTTTAACTGATCTTATGGTGGCTGCTAATAGCCTCAAAGTATTTGCAATTAAGGGTAGTACCTATGGGGTTTATATGGAAAAATATAATTCTATTTTATCTATGAATATTTAAAAACGTTGGTTATTTGTGGGAAATATAAATTTGCATTTATAAATAAATAGGAAAAAAAAAATAGAAATTTAAAATATTATTTTTTGTTTTTTTGTTGGAGTCAATAAAATTTTCAAATCCTACAATAACGCTAACAGTGGCATTAGTAACAACAACAATAATTTAAGTCCTACGGTAGGAACAAAAATAACCATAAAAATAACAGTACAATTGGCGCTCGATATAGTGTACCTACTCTATAATGAATCAATGAAGTCGGGAAATTTCATTATATATAAATTCAGCTCGATATAATGATTTTTTAATGAAGTTTTTTCAACTCTTCCTTATATCGAGCGCCAACCATATATAATTCCTATGTAAAATGGGTGTAGATGTTATTTATCCATTAATTACATTCGTTTTTTCCTGGTGATCAATATCGATAAAAATTAGTATTAGTATTAGCCACACTTATTTTACTCAGCAATTCATCAATTCCTTAGATAATATATCTGAAAATTCATTTACAATAATCAAGAATTAACTCTGGGACTTCCTGTGTCTGATATATGGAAAAAGTAAAAGGACATTACTCAGCATCTTGCAAATATTTTCCAAAAACCTGGAATCGTGAAGCACCATTTAAACCCAAGGCTCATTCAGCTAATGAATGTCTGAATCTCATTATTCTATTCTCTTTTTTATTTGGGTGAAATTAACAATCAACGAAGCATTGAAATACAAAATGCCCAACTTCTTTTGTCAAACTTTTATGAAATCACTGTTCTAACTAACCAAAGAAAAAATTCAATCGATTTCTGACTTTTGCCCTTTGTCATTTCGTCATTTTCGTCACATTTCATCACATGTGCCATGTTTGATGAAATATTTTTTACACTCCAAAATATTTTCGTCACCCAACCTTGATCTCTTTTAGAAATTAAAACTTTCTTTATTATTATTATTACATTTCATAAAATCAAATTGTCTTTACATACATATGAATTGTGTCAAATTGATGTTTCTCGAATTTTAGACTCTTGAGGTTAACTACGCGTAAATAGTAATACGCCATAATATTAATAATGTGCTTGAGCTGTCTTTGGTGTATGAGTTTGAAGCAACATAGGTTGATCAATATTGGTACTTAGAACGACGACCTTTACATAGCAGATTTTTGGTACAGATTTTTGTAAGTTTTAATTTTGTTTCTATTTTTATCACTTTAAATTTTCAAAGAATGCTGAAATTCTTTTATTATTGAATCACGTTAGATCGATCACTAACGTTTGGTGATGATGAAGTTGTTCTTTAATGCAATCTTCACTTTTTAATTCAAATAAACTATATAAAATGTTGTACGAAAAAATTGTTTGTTACGCGTCATTCAGTTCTCCGCAAAGAAAAACATAATAATAACAGTGAGTTTCGTGAAATATAGATTAGCATTATATTGCGATAATAATTTTCGGCGTCATAGTATTATAAAACCACATGGCTTCAATCACTTATATATATTCATTCGGAGCATCAAAATTAGCACCGGATGCGAAGCATTATAGCATCCTATCATGTATTCGTGATCAATGATGTAATCTTTAAAATAGATTATCAGGCAGGTCCTGTGTAATCACTGGCAGAAATAAACAAACTTATTTTTGCAGCTTTATATTATAATCATGTGATACAATCAGTTTATCGTTAATAATAAGAATATATTTGAATTAAAGAAAAAAAAATTTATTTCTGCCAGTAATACGTCAGACCTACCTGATAACAAGAACTTATTTCATGGCCAGATGATATATTGATCGAGTAATCTAACAAATTACAACAAAACACATAAATAGACCCGCTACCCTCAAAAAATAGCAAAAAACAGTGCATTGGTTTTGATTTTACGTTGCATTCGAATTCGAGGATCGAGGCGCCTAGTGCCAAGTGTCATTCTATATATTATTTGGCTTTACACGTTACATTCAAATGCGAGGTATTTATACATTCATTCGGAGCATCGACATTAGCCAGTAATATTATTGTTATACCAATATTTTTATTTTATTCGTTGCGTTGAGCAAAAAAATTTTTTATTTATTTATTTAAAAAAATTACATATACAAAGAAAAATTATTCACGAATTTAATATATTTAATAAAAGATCCTTTGCAAAGAAGAAACCTCATATGGGTCAAAAGTTATTTACGAATTTTGATTGTTAAGGGTAGAGTATACGTAACACAAATTTTACTATGATACAGTGGATAATTTTTTGGCTGCCGATCATTAAAATATTAATATTAATGTATATAGTCGTAATAACATTCATTATATAATAGTAATATCAGGGTAGAAAAATATATTTTATTTGTAATATCACCTATTGAAAGCAGGTGATGAGAGAATGAAAATTATAAGTCCAGTAATTAACACTAAACAATAAATGAAAACATTTACTATAACATTGTCCTTTTCTTCCACATCCTTTACATCATTTAGCAAACAAATAAATAAACAGGCTATATTTTGCTGCTCTTTCTCATTTCCTTGTTTAAAGATAAAATTATAATGTTAACACTTTAATTCTCAATATTATATTAATTATATTAATTATCTTCACCAAGTAAAATTATAGGAAGCACTCACATGTTTAAAAGTAAAAAGAAAATTTGATATAACTTCCACGAAGAATAAGCAGAACAAATAGTATATGTAGAATAGATAGAGATATATTGTTGTCTTGTTATTGACTTCCACTACCA